AGGAATTAGGATTATTCCGGAATTTGACATGCCAGGTCATACACATTCCATCGCAGAAAGCATGCCGGAAATGTATGATATTCAATGAATACACGTATTTCTAATCATTCATTTATTAAATCACTCATTTATTAAAGCGATTTAAGTAACATTTGATATTTTTAAACAGAATGACATGTATAGACGTACAACCAAATTGGTATAATGTAATGATGTTTTTTGTTATTTATATTTTACATTTTAGTTAATATCCGTTGAGCTGACTCAACCTAGATTATTCTAACAACTTGATTCATTATTTTAGTTCTCCGCCGAACCACCAAGCGGCCAATTAAACCCTGCATTGGATGAAACTTATACCTTCCTTAATAAACTGCTTCCTGAATTAGCTTCTTACTTCAATGACAAATATTATCATGCTGGTGGAGATGAAGTAAACCTAAATTGCTGGAATACAACTCCATCAATCATTGAATACCTATATCAGAATTCGGATTCATCCATTGAGACGCTTCTCTCTAAATTTGTTAATGAAACTCATAAAATTGTTCGTAATTCAGGAAAATTGCCGATAACATGGCAAGAAATGATTGTTAATCACACTCTGCCATTGAAAAAGGATACTTTGGTTCAAGTGTGGACTAATAAAGATATAATTAAGAAGGTTGTGAAGAAAGGATATAGAGTCATCACAGGGAGCAGTGATTATTGGTATTTAGACTGCGGGCACGGTGGATGGGTCGGAAATGATGTCAATGGTAAAAGTTGGTATGTTCAATAAACATTTCTAATTTATTTTTATGAGGGTTTAACATTTGTGAAAACATAAAGAAACAGACTGAGCCTTACACTACAGATCTATAATGTTAATAATTTCATTTGTAGGTGCGATCCATTTAAAACTTGGCAAAAGATATATTCTTTCAATCCAATTGATGGATTAACCGATGAAGAAGCTAAATTGATTATAGGAGGTAAAAATAATTGTTTTTTTTTTTATTTGAGAGCAAGATATAACATTTTTTTCAACATTTATTCAATCTTTTCGAAAATTTAGGCGAGGTCCAATTATGGTCAGAACAAGCTGATCCGACAAATTTAGAAACTCTCTTATGGCCACGTTCATCTGCAGCTGCTGAGGTTTTGTGGTCAGGACCTTATGACACTTCTAAAAAAATTCGAACTCCAGATAAGGATGCGTTAGCACGGTTAACTGATTGGAGATTTAGAATGGTAGAAAGGGGCGTAAATGCTGTTCCATTACAACCTTTGTGGTGCGCTCGCACAGGACGATGTGATGCCCTCGCACAGGACGATGCCTAGTAAATGGTTATAATGGCTTGTAGAGTAAAGTTAGTGTGTTTGAAATTTAATAGAGTTAATATGTAAATGAATTTCATGAGCATGCTAAGACATTATATAAATATAAATTTGTAGTTTGAAATTTACTTTAGCTCATTTTTAATTTGCAGTTTATTTGTATTATTGTAATATGAACATTTGATGATTTATTTGTTTGTTTATTTATTTATTTAGAGTATAAACAAATAATTGGATTATGTTTCAAAAAAAAGGTTGATAAAAAAATAAATTTTTAAATAAATCAACAATGCTAGTTAATAAATGTTCATAATTTTCAGATCATCTTTATCAAGGAGA